CTACAAAACTTGACAAGAAAGAAGAAGAGAAACAAGTCAATGCGCTTATTTACAGTATGGGCGAAGAGGCAGACGATATAATCACATTGTTTGGCCTCAGCGACGAGGAGATCAAAAGCTACGAAACAGTTCGAAAAAAGTTCGAAAATCACTTCATCACTAAACAAAATGTGATTTTCGAAAGAGCGAAATTTAATATTCAAACTCAAGACGAAAACGAACCCGTGGGGAGCTTCATTACCGACCTTCATTGCCTCGCCAAGTACTCCGAATTTGGGGCACTGAAAGATCAATTGATACAAGATCGAATCGTAGTTGGACTGCAGAACAAAAATCTATCAGAGAAATTACAACTAGATCCAAATCTCACTCTAGAGAAAGTTATGTCTCAAGCAAGACAAAGTGAGGAAATCAAAAAGCAACAAAGTGTTATTCACAGGGAAAAAGTTACTGGAAATAACGAGCACAATATCGACAGCATATCTAAGAATAGAAAGCAACAACGTTCCTGTGAAAGCCATTTTACTCAGAATACTAGTAAACACAGCAGATTTTGCAAACCCAAATGTTCACGGTGTCTTGGAACACCACACTCCTGGCAATCGTGGGCAGCAAGTGAGTCCATATGTCAAAATTGTTCGAAAAAGGGACATTGGTCAAAGGCATGTCGAAGCTAAACTGACCAACAATTCCGAAAGCAAGAAATAAACGAATTAAATTCCTGGCAAGAAAACAGGGAAGAGAATTCGTCAGAAGATTAGGCACGTTTCTTGGCTGAAATATTACACCTAGAGACTGTCGACAACACTAGCAGTAAACCGTGGACTGCAGACATCAAAGTAAATTATATGAAGAAAACATTAGATTCAAAATCGGCAATGGCGCTGACGTCACAGTGATACCATTAAGAACATTTCAAGAACGAAAACTACCTCTAAAGCTCAATTTGACTAGAAAAGTTCTAATCGGTCCATATAAGCACAAGCTGAAGTGTATTGGAACATTCGCATTGCAGCTCCAACACGAAAACCAGACAACGACAGAAGAAATATTTGTGGTGAAAGGCCTAGAAAGACCACTACTCGGAAGGCAAGCATCCCAGAATCTGAAGTTAATCAAAGGTTGAAACAGAAAAAACCATAAGAGAAAAGGGTCACAATCTCTTCACTGGTCTCGGACAAGTTAAAAACTAGAATACAATATCAAAATCACTCAAGATGCATGCAATCCCGTCTGCCATCACAGTACCACGACAAATACCGATTCCACTCCGCAAAGAAACTCAACGAGAAATAAAAAAATACCACCACAAACCAACCTACATGAAGTCCGTTTCTTCCTGAGTATGGTGAATCAATTCGGCAAATTTACCACCAACCTCGCATTCATGACAAAACCTATTCGCGAGCTGCTGGTCAAAAATACCGCATATACATGGGGACCTCCACAACAAGATGCCTTTGACAAAATCAAGAAAACTCTGACATCAGCATCAATTCTGACCTTGTATGACCCAAGAAAAAAACAAAAATAGCAGCTGATGCTTCGTCGTACGGCCTAGGAGTGGTAATTCTACAAGAAGAGCCAGGTAACTTGAAACCCGTATCATTCATTTCAAGATCGATGACAACAACTGAGACTAAGTACGCGCAAATAGAAAAAGAGGCTCTGGCAGTTACTTAGGCATGTAAGCTATCAAGCAACTACATCGTTGGAAATTCGATAACAATAGAAACGGACCATAAACCACTGGTCCCCTGCTCACCCAACACACAGTCGACAAACTACCTCCAAGGCTACAACGCTATAAGATGAGACTCGTGAGATTTCACATCAAGGAAATCCGACACGTACCTGGAAAACTACCTTACACAGTTAACCCTTTGTCAAGAAAAATACCTGAGGGCACAGCTCAACGAACGATAGAAGAACAGGAAATGAATATCTACATTTCTAGTGTAATGGAAGCACCCCGGGATCAAATCCAAGTTTGAAACACACACAGCAAGCTTAAGATGATGATGAGGTATGCAAAGAAGTGAAGAAGTACTGCATGGATCAATGGCCAGAAAAGGATCATGTCACCTGGGCAGTAAAACCAAACTGGTCAGTACAAGGAGAACTCACAATTGTTGACGGGTTATTACTAAAAGGAACAAGACTAGAAATAAATGCATGCAGCAACCCCTCGCTATTTCAAACCAAGTACACAATTTTCCTGAGTTAACCTGACCTAAACTTATATTGTGAAAAAGGACTAAAAGTCAGGTCAGTCTTATTCAGTATAATTTACCGAATATATTATAACTAATGTTTCCATCATTCAATACAAAAATAATCATAAAGCTATTATAAACATCGTCCGTTCAATTTGGCTGCATTATACTATGCCAGCAATTAGGAACGGTTTAAAATTGAACTATCAGAGTTAAATTATTAAAAGAGTACAAAATCATCACAAGCAAAGAAAAAACCTCAAATACTTCAAATGTTAACGTTATTTTATTCTGTAACTGCAGTCGACGCCGGCGGTTAAAAGTTTTATACTTTATAAGTATAGTGAGTATTTTTTAAAAAAAATCACACTTTCAAAAACACTTTTTTGGGTTAAAGCAAAAATGTAATAGCCTTTCACAGGTTTATGCGTTTGCATAAAAACCTGAAAATTTTACAAAGCTGAAAATTTAACAAATAAACGGCATACAACGCTGAAAAGTATACAAATACGGCTTATCCTTACCGCGAAACAAATATGAATTAAACAAAGTAAACACATACCCTTTGAAAACATTAAATTTGAAATACATTGAAATACAAACGTTTCTGTCTTAGCCAATCAGAACGTTTGTTGAATACCAGTCGTTACTCGCGCATGCGCATAACTTACAAAACCACCGAACATCAACCGTCCATGACATAGAATTTGGGCAACTTTGGATTCGCTTATGTTATCCTGGGTCCCGGTGTCACAGGAAATTTGGCCCCCCCGGGCCAAATTTCCTAGGAAATATGCCCCCCCCCCCCGGGCCAAATATCCTAGGAAATTTGGCCCCCCTTCGGAAATTTGGCCCCCCATTCGGAAATTTGGCCCCCCATTCGGAAATTTGGCCCCCTCTAAAAAACATAGTTTACCTTACCATTTTAGAGCTTGAGAACCGTTAAGAGTATAAAAGTTTTAAGTGTATAAAAGTCTATCTAACCGTGGTTTGAGTTACAACTTACAAACAGCACTGACGGACTTTATATAGCGCAAGTTACCTGTTTTTGTGTTTGCCGATTGTTTTTTAAACATTTTTATGCAAATTTGTATTAATTACTCCCTAAATGTTAGCCGCATGCACATTAACACTTTCGCCAACGCATGTTGTCATCGCTTGCTAAAGTGTGGTTGTTATTTTGACGAATTTCATATTAGGTTTAGAAACTTGTTGAATATTGAGTCAAAAGTTCGCGATTTCAAAACTATATATATTTTATATATATATTGAGAGTATAAAGTATGTTATCGAGGGGGATAACATACTTTATACGCTCAATATATATATATATATAAAATATTATTTGTCCTCCCCAGAAATTCTTAATTTGGCGACCTTATAAATTATAGGCTTAGCGGTTATACATACATAGGAAAGGTGGTTTTAGGAAATTACCACTTATTTATTTATTTTTCGATTAAAGCCCCTAGTAATGTTATGATAATCCTAGAAATTAGCCACGTGCACATTAACAATATTCGTCTTAGCTCTTCGCCGAGAAGAAAAGCTTTTACACAAATAAATGAAGCAAACTAAGTATGAATACAAACATTTACGATCTTGCTTTTAGAAGAAATTTCGCGATTCTCAAACTCATGGCAATAAAGTATATGTTTTCGAGGGGGCCAAATTTCCGAAAGGGGGGCCATATTTCCTAGAAAATATTTCCATGACCCCCAGGGGGCCAAATTTCCTAGGAAATATGGCCCGGGGGGGCCATATTTTGGGGGGAACAAATTTCCTGGGACACCAGGTGTAATTTCTAATCTCAGAGCGGATTAATACCCTCGTAAGCGCTCCACGCCCGCTCGGGGACTAGTTATTCCATCCAGCCTTCAACGCCAAACTCTTTCCCAAATACACCAAGGCCAAGATAATATGTTTGGAGGCCAGGACTTAGTTCACATCTCCAAACTATGGTTTAAAATTGTACACCTTGCAGCAAGTACAGACAACAGCATGCAGAACCGTTGATCCCAAAGCCACTCCGAGCAACACAATGGCAACTGATCGCAACAGACCTGTTTATTCTAGAAAAGGTCACCTCTCTAGTAGCTGTAGATTATTATTCTCGATATGTTGAAGTTGTGGCGGTAACCAAAGATACAAGTTCAACGAAGATAATACAAGCTTTAAAGCTACCTTCACCAGGCACGGGGTTCAAGATCAAGTATGTTCCGACAATGGGTCCTGATACCACAGTGACGAGTTCGCCCAGTTTGCAAAAGAATGGGGATTCAAGCATAGTACCAGTAGTCCTCGCTATCCTCAAGCGAACGGAGAGGTAGAACAGGCAGTAAGGACTGTTCAGAAGAACGTTAGGATTTAAATATTAGAAAAAACAATTATTTTATATTACAATTATTTAAACGAGCATAGGGAACATTTAAGGAAATTAGCTTTGTTCTAGTAGGTTTTTAATTAGGATTCAAATGCGCATATATAATTAGGCAACACCTTAAAAACAGAAAAAACAACATAAAAATTAGTTAGAACCGTTCGATAGTTGTTTAGCTAAGTGTAAGATGTCGATATTTTTGTTAGTGAAATAAATCGTTGAAATGGAGTGTTGATGCGAACCCTCTTGAACATTTTTGGTAGCAGGAAATGGTTGAGAATACAGGAGAAGCCGTTAAACGTATGGAAGAATCTTTGTTAATAGCAGAGATCGAACAGCTAAAGAAGCGTTAGCGAGTTGCAAAAGCGCAGACGTCGAAGCTGTATATGAAACTTTTGCGATTGATGGCTAACAAGAAGAGTGTAGCAGAAGAGTTGCTGCAAGAGGTCGATGCCTATGAAGCGAAACAGCAGGAAACGTGGGATATTATCGAAGAATTGATTACAGTGTGTAGGACATTGGGTGACGAAAGAAACGCTGTGAAGGCCGAAGACGAGCTGGGAAATATAATGAGAGATACAAATCGGGACGCGACGACAGTTAAGTCCTATGTATCCGCGATGGTGAGTAAACAATACAGTCCCGGCGCGGTTGGTGATGAACCGTTCAAAAAAGTTAGTGAGAATACCGTCGACCATGTGCCTACGTCGAAAGCCGAAGTTGAGCGAAATCTTGAACGTTTGCAAGTACCGAAGTTCGACGGCGACAAATTAAAGTTTGCAAGTTTTTGGGCAGCATTTTCAGCAATCGTGGATGAAACAAGTGCACTACCAAGATACAAAATGTTGAGACTGAAAGCGTGCCTTGAAGGGAATGCGGCAGAGGCAATTGCCAAGCTGGGTTATTTGGACGAAGCTTACGAAGAGGCAAAGAGAACTTTGATACGTAAGTTTGGTGGCGATCGTCGACAAATACAAGCGCATTTGGAGAATCTTCGAGCCACCAAGTCGTTTCAAGATGATGACGTTCTAGAAATTGAGAGGTTTTCGGATAGTCTGGTGCATTCGATTGTTACGTTGAAGGAGCAAAAACAATGGAATGAATTAAGACCGAACAGTACGCTGTACTTGTTGTTAATCGAGAAGGTTCCAAGGTCGATGCTGTCCAGATTTTTCCGTTGGTTATCTGAGAAAGTTAAAGAGGAGACTTTAGAATCCTTGAGTGACTGGTTGGTTGAAGAAACAGAGTTCTTGATTCACGCAATGGAGACCAAAGAAGGCATGTCGGTAAAGAAAACATCTCGAGATAAACGACCGCATCGTAATTTCGCTACTGTGACAGATGGTCGACAGCGAAATTGTGCTTGCTGTAACAAAATTGGTCATGGAGTATGGAGCTGCGCAAAGTTTAAAGACGGAAGCGTGGCGCAACGTTGGGCTTTAGCAAAAGAAAAGCAGTTGTGTTATCGATGCCTCTCGGATCATCATCTTGGGAGAAATTGTCCAAGGACACGAGTCTGCGGTCTTGAAGGCTGTAAACGCAATCACCATCAGCTGCTACATGACTCTGAGAGGAAGGATCAGCAGGAAACCGACCGGGATGGGAAAGAACGATTGCTCAAGCCAATTCCAGACCCAAAGGATGGAAATACGTCCGCGTCACAAGAGCAAACTGGGATAGAAAAGAAGACATACATAGCAACATTAGCTGTGTCTCAATCGTCTAACAAAGCGGGATCATTTCGTACTGTACCTGTGTGGTTGAAAGCGAATGGTCAGAAGATACGAGTTAATGCTGTTCTTGATGATGCCAGCAGTGCGTCGTACATTAGCGAAGAAGTGGCTGGGGTTCTGGGACTGTCTGCTCCATATGAACCTGTTACGGTTCAGGTTCTAAATGAAAATATCGAGACTTTCGACACTATGCCAGTGGACTTGGTTCTTGAGAGTAGCGATGGTAGTGTTCAAGTTTCGTTCCGACCGTTTACGTGTCCGCGTAAGATAACCGGAAGCTACAAGGTGGTAGACTGGAGAGGTTATCAGAACCGTTGGCCCCACCTAGAAGTGTGTAATTTTCCGAAGGCGACAAAAGATCCGTTAGTGGATGTTCTTATTGGGCAGGATCAAGTCGATTTACACTATGCTAGATGTGATGTGAAAGGAAAACCAGGTGAACCGATAGCGAGATTGGGTCCATTGGGATGGTCGTGCATTGGAAACCCAGAAGAGAAATCGTTGGTCTGCGAATCACTTCGAACGAACCTGGTCTACACGTTCTTTGCAAAGTTTCAGCCACTTGAAGAGCTTAATCGGTCGTTAAAGAGATTTTGGGAATTGGAGTCTGTCATGCCCGAAGAGGAGCCTTGCGTGATGTCACAAGAAGAAAAGTGGGCGTTGTCTCAGTTGCGTGAATCGTTAGTCAAGGTCGGAGAACGTTACCAAGTGGCAGTTCCATGGAAAGGAAACCGTCCAGTTCTAGCGAACAATTATGAGACAGCACTCAAACGACTCGAGAATACAGAATACGGCTATTGAGAACCGAGTCACTCGGGGCAAGTTATAGTGACATCATTCGAAGTTATAAGGAAAAAGCATACATTCGTAAGGTGAACCAAGACGAAGAAATGTCACCTGTTGGTCAGGTTTGGTTCTTACCTCATTTCCCGGTGTGCCGTCCAGACAAAGAAATGACAAAGACCCGTATAGTGTTCGATGCCAGCGCCAAACATCATGGAGTATCCTTAAACGACATGATCTTACCTGGACCAAAGCTGCAAAGTAATCTGTTTGACGTATTACTTCGATTCCGTCGGTATGCTGTAGCCATGGTATGCGATATCCGTGAAATGTACCTGCAAATCCGGATCCCGACTGAAGATCGTTCGTACTTCAGGTTCTTGTGGAGGGATCTAGGAACTGATAGACGTCCAGAAGTGTACGAGTTCGAGAGAGTGGTTTTTGGAGATACGTCAGCCCCTTTTCGTGCGCAATATGTAACTCAAGAAAATGCTCGACAATACAAAGAAATTTACCCCCTCGCAGCAAGTCATTGAGAAATCAACGTACATGGATGATTCTTTGGACTCGACTCGAACCGATGAAGAAGCAATCGAACTGTACGAGCAGTTAAACAAGTTGTGGAATTTAGCTGGAATGGATCCTCGAAAATGGGTGTCGAATTCCCACCGCGTTCTTGAAAGAATTCCCAGTGAGAAACGGGCAGAAAAGGTCGATTTAGACCAAGGAAATATTCCTACGATCAAAACACTGGGTGTATTATGGTTGGCAGAGGACGATGTGTTTTCGTTCCGAGTAGAAGCGGTACTGGAACCAAAGTTTACGAAGAGAACATTACTAAGCCAAGTGTCGAAAGTATTCGACCCGTTAGGGTTTGTTTCGCCTTTCGTCGTGTCAGCAAAGATTATCTTTCAAGAGTTATGGGTGCAAGGAATTGGATGGGACGATCCAATTGAAAATGGTGTGTATCGCCAGGCCAAGAGTTGGTTGGACGGTTTAAAAGATCTCGAATCTCTGAGAATTCCCCGTTGCATTGAGTTGAACAACGAGAGATCACCAACAGTGCACACCTTTGCGGATGCGTCGAAAGTCGCATATGGAGCGGTGAGCTATCTAAGAGTCGAGAATCCAAACGGAGAGATTAGGACCCACATGATTGCATCGAAAACCCGGGTGGCACCATTAAAGCCAGTCAGTATTCCACGACTTGAGTTGTTGGCGGCGGTTTTGGGATTGCGGTTGACATTAGCTATCGCACGAGCGTTGAACCTTTCCATTTCTGACGCGCGATTTTGGTGTGATAGTATGAATGTGCTCCTTTGGATCCGCGGACGTGGTCGGGAGTTCTTGTCTTTCGTTGCCAAAAGAGTTGGTCTAATTCAAAATCACACCAGTCCGGAGCAATGGCAGTACATCGGATCAAGGGACAATCCCGCAGATCTCTGTTCTCGTGGGAGCAGTTCAACACAATTAATCTCAAGTGAACTGTGGTGGCAAGATCCCCAATTTTTACAGATAAAGGAATCAGAATGGCAGTTGAAGAAAATTTTGGACGAGGGAAATGTTAATCGCAAAGTGTCTACGCTGACGTGCCTCTTACAACCCATGATCTCTTCAAGCAGCCCTTTATGGCGATTGAATCCAGAGAGGTGGTCAAGCTGGCGTAGGCTTGTTCATGTTATGTCATGGGTATTGAGATTTTTGAACAATTGCCGCACCACAGTTAATTACCGAGTATTTGGCCCGTTAAAATTGGAGGAAGTCCAAGACGCTCAGCTCTCCATAATTCGAGACGCACAGCAGCAAAGCTACGAAGAGTATACCGTTATCAAAGAAGGAGAGCCGATTTCAGCACGTAGCAAGTTGCTCAAGTTGATGCCCAAGCTTGATGAAGACAGTGTACTTCGATGCGATGGTCGGCTATGCTATGCCGAATTCCTGCCATATGAAGTCCGTTTCCCGATTATATTACCGCGAGGTAGCTGGGTGACTAGATTGATTATTAAGCATTATCATGAAATTGGGCAACATGTCTTGGGTACTAACCATATCTTGGCAAACCTTAGTAACGACTATTGGATTGAGGCAGCTCGGGAAGAGATACGATCATGGGAGAAGGAATGTAGTAAATGTAGAAGACGAAAGGCGAAGGCGGCGAGTAAAGTTATGGCACCACTCCCGTTAAATCGGTCGCAATTACCGTTGAAGGCGTTTTCCAGAGTTTCGGTCGATTTTGGTGGCCCTTTCATCACCGTCCAAGGTAGAGGACAACGAAGACAAAAACGATGGCTTTGCCTGTTTACTTGTTTCTTGTCTCGTGCGGTACATTTAGAGATGGCGTACGGCCTTGACACGGACAGCTTTCTTAGATGTTTCACCAGAATGGCGAGCCGAAGGGGTTATCCGTCTCAAATCGTAAGTGATCGTGGGACAAACTTTATAGGAGCTGCTAGGGAATTGAAAGAGTTGGTGGACCAGTTGAATACTTGTAAGATACAAGAAACCACGATTGACAGCGGGGTAAAGTGGACCTTTAACCCACCGTTGGCACCGCATTTTGGAGGAGCCCATGAGATAATGATAAAGGCGGCCAAGAAAGCAATCTACGCAATTTTGAGAGATGCTGATGTAAATGATGAAGAATTGTCAACTATATTCGTTGGTGTCGAAGCGACGTTGAACTCTAGGCCCCTCACATACCAGACAGCTGATCCGAAGGACTCCCTGCCGCTCACCCCGAATCATTTTCTGCATGGACACGCGGGAGGAAAATCTGCTCCTGAAGGCATTGAGAGTCTAGAATTCAATCCACGAAAACGCTGGAGAAGGGTCCAGGAGCTAATCAATCATTGTTGGAAGCGGTGGATGAAAGAATGGCTACCGTTGATTAACATCCGAACAAAATGGTGGCAACCAAAACGCGATCTAAAAGTAGGAGACTTGGTTCTCGCCATTTCGGCTGACCAGAATCGAGGGCGTTGGCCGTTGGGTCGTGTAAGAGAGGTGCTTCCAGGAAAAGACGGCCATGTCCGTGTGGCAAAAGTGCAGGTTGGACAAGAGACAATTATCAGACCCGTGACAAAGTTAGCACCGGTGGAATTCAGTGAACAGGACACGCCTTTGCCAGATTGTACTGTCAAAGGAGGGGGAGAATGTTCAGAAGAACGTTAGGATTTAAATATTAGAAAAAACAATTATTTTATATTACAATTATTTAAACGAGCATAGGGAACATTTAAGGAAATTAGCTTTGTTCTAGTAGGTTTTTAATTAGGATTTAAATGCGCATATATAATTAGGCAACACCTTAAAAACAGAAAAAACAACATAAAAATTAGTTAGAACCGTTCGATAGTTGTTTAGCTAAGTGTAAGATGTCGATATTTTTGTTAGTGAAATAAATCGTTGAAATGGAGTGTTGATGCGAACCCTCTTGAACAAGGACAGTGAAAAATATCTTGAAGAGAGAAAAAGATCCCGCAAAAGCAATGTTAGCATATAGATCAACACCATTAGCAAGTGGATATTCGCCAGCAGAACTCCCCATGGGGAGAAAGGTAAAATCAAGAATACCAATAATGGCACAACAGCTCACCCCGCAACTACCAAACCAGGAACTTATTAAAGCAAAGGAAGAAGAATATAGTCGACTGAAACAGAAGAAGAATTTTGATAATCGCCATAGTGCTCAAAGAATGAAGCCTTTGACATCAGGAACAACAGTTTATATATATATGACAGATATGAACTGTACAGGAACAGTAATCAGAACAACCAACAAACCAAGATCATATTTGGTTGACACTCCTACGACGGTCATATAAGAAGGAACAGAGCACAACTGCGTAATGTTCCAAATTGGTCAAACTAATCAGTTTTCAGCTTACAGATGAGCCTTATCAGACCTTTCAAAATTCAGGATGATACAACACCATAAATGAAATGCATGAGACAGCGAAAAACCATTATTGAGAGAATGATTCGTGGCGTTGATTGAATTAGATTCTTTTGCAACACTAGAAGATTCAGGATTATACAACACCTTAAATCAATGCATGGGAAAGCGAACAACCATTTTTTGGCAGGATGAAAATGGAGTTTCAGTCAAAACTTTTTATGTCTTTAATCTAAATAAGAGAATCGCTAATCATTTTTTGGTTTTGAAAATACCTTGTACAGTTAATGCATATCGTAAAAAAAACGGAAAATAATCTTTTCCCAAAAATATTAAATCCGGTTAGAAAGGGGGGACTATTTAATCTTCCAAAGTCGTAAAACACATCCCAGCTTCGATTAAGACATGGCTTTCTTCATGCTTTGGTTTTCGTGACGTATGATGGTTCGGGTGAAATGTTTTAATGCGTTTCAAAATGATTATAGTTTTCCTCGATATGGTGAAAAAAATAGTTAAAGATTATTTTGCAACACTACAAAGTTCAGGATTATACAACACCATAGGTAAAATGCACAAGAAAGCAAGCAACCATTATTGCAAGGATGAAATGGAATTTCAGTCCGAACTTTTGACGCTCCCAGTCTAAGAGATTCGCTAGTATTTTTTTTTATCTAAAAATATCGTGAATCAGTTAGTCCATATGGTGAAAAAAATCGGAAAATACATTTTCTTCAAAAATAATAAATACGGCTTGAAAGGCGGGACTATTTCATTTTCTGAAGTCGTAAAACACATCCTGATGTTGATTAAGACATGGTTTTTTTTCATTCTTGGCTTTTAATGATGTATGACCGTTACAGTAGAATATTTTGATGCGTTTCAAAACGCTTTTAATCGTCTTGGTTATGCAGAAAAAAATATTTACACCATAAATGAACTGCCTGAGACTGCAAGCAACCATTATTGTTAGGATGAAATGGAATCTCAGTCCAAACTTTTTATGTCCCCAATCTAAGAGGTTCGCTAGTACTTTTTTTAAATTTGAAAATACTTTCAAGGTAGTACATATCGTGAAAAAATCGGAAAATATATTTTCTTTAAAAATGATGAATCCGGTTTGAAAGGAGGACTATTTAATGTTCCGAAGTTCTAAAAAAATTCCTGGCGTTGTTTAAGACATGGCTTTTTTCATTCTTGGATTTTAATGATGTATGACAGTTCTGTTAATTATTTTGTTGTGCTTCGAAATGCTTATAGTTTAGTAAACGGCAATGTCTACGTCCATACCATCTGGAAAGCACGGGTTCTCATCTGGTCACCGAAGTTAAAACAAGTCAGACGAAGTTAGTACTTTGGTGGGTGACCTCTTAGGAATACTTCTAATCCTAAGTTCCTTTTTATTTATTCATAGAAAATTATTCCAATGTTCTCATCACTTTTTTCCAAAAGGAATAATTTTGTTTAACTTTCCTCAAAAATATTCACAGATTAAAAGCTCTTGTTTCCTCTAACAGGATGTCTATGTCCATATCACTTGGAAAGCACCGGTTCTTGTCTCATCACTGAAGTTAAAACAAGTTAGTACTTAGGTGGGTGACCTCTTGGGAATACTTTGTGTCATTGGCTTTTTTTGATTTATTCATAGAAAATGATTCCAATGTTCTCATCAATTTGCCCAAAAGGAATATTTTTGTTGAACTTTCCCCAAAAATATCAATAGATCAAAAGCTCTTGTTTTCTCAAAGGCAATGTCTGCATCCATACCATTTGAAAAGCACCGGTTCTCATCTGATCACTGAAGTTAAAAGAAGTCAGATGAAGTTAGTACTTTAGTGGGTGACGTTTTAGGAATAATACTTCGTGTCGTAGGCTCCTTTTTATTCATTCATAGAAAATTATTCCAATGTTCTCATCAATTTGCCCAAAAGGGATATTTTTTTTTAATTTTATCCAAAAATATTCATAGATCAAAAGCCCTTGTTTTCTATAAGGCAATGTCTACGTCCACACCACTTGGAAAGCACTGGTTCTCATCTGGTTACCGAAGTTAAAAGAAGTCAGATGAGGTTAGTACTTAGGTGGGTGACCTCTTAGGAATACTTCGTGTTGTAGGCTGCTTTTCATTTATTCATAGAAAATTATTCCAATGTTCTCATTAATCTGCCCAAAAGGAATATTTTTGTTGAACTTTCCCCAAAAATAGTCATAGATTCAAATTTCTTCTTTTCTCAAATTATACGTCTACGTCCATGCCACTTGGAAAGCACAGGTTCTCAGCTGATCACCAAAGTTAAAACAAGTCGGGCGAATTGAGAACTTGGATGGGTGACCACTCGGGAATACTCCGTGTCGTAGGCTTCTTTTGATTTATTCTCATCAATTTGCCCAAAAGGAATGTTTTTGTTTAACTTTCCCAAAAAATATTCATACAATAAAAGTTTTTTTTTTCTTAAACAAGATGTCTATGTCTATACCACTTGGAAAGCACAGGCTCTCGTCTGATCACCGAAGTTAGAACAAGTCAGGCGAAGTTAGTACTTGGATAGGTGACCTCTTGGGAATGCTTTATGTCGTAGGCCCCTTTTGATTTATTAAAAAAAAATTAATCCAATGTTCTCATTAATTTGCCGAAAAGGAATATTTTTGTTTACCTTTCCCCAAAAATATTCATAGATTAAAATTTCTTGTTTTCTCAAACAAGATGTCTACGTCCATACCACTTGGAAAGCACAGGTTCTCGTCTGATCACCACAGTTAAAACAAGCCGGAAGAAGTTAGAGCTTTGGTGGGTGACTTCTCAGGAATACTTCATGTCGTGGGCTCCTTTCTATTTATTCATAGATTATTCATGGAAAATAATTCAAATGTTCTCATCAATTTGCCCAAAAGGAATATTTTTTTTTATCCAAAATTATTCATACATCAAAAGCTCTTGTTTTCTCAAAGGCAATGTCTGCGTCCATACCATTTGGAATGCACCGGTTCCCATCTGATCACAAAAGTTAAAACAAGTTGGGCGAAGTTAGTACTTGGATGGGTGACCTCTTGGGAATACTTTGTGTGGTAGGCTCCTTTTGATTTATTCATAGAAAATTATTCCAATGTTCTCATCAATTTCCCCAAAAGGAAGATTTTTTTTTGATTTTATACAAAAATATTCATCGATCAAAAGCTCTTGTTTTCTCAAAGGCAATGTCTATGTCCATACCACTTGGAAAGCACCGGTTCTCATCTGATAATAATAATAATAATATAATAATAATAATGATTTATTCAATAAGATCCACTAGGTGGCTCTTCCCCTATTGAAAACTACGATACATACAAAAATTTTTATTATTTTGACTAAAAGTGAATATATAAAAAGAAAGTTAATTTATAAGATAATTTAGGAAAAAGTTTCTAACATTGTATATTTACATTGTACGTGACTTTAGTACAGCCCTAACTTTCGTACAAAATTGACTGTAATCAGATATCGATCTAATGTCAGATGGTAGGCTATTAAATAGTTCAGATGTAATGTCTTGGAAAGTACCCTTTTCCATTGGCCTAACCAAACTCAAACTGGTACTCGAGCGCAGACTACGAGCTGGTTTATATAATTCAACAGCAGCATACTTTGGCCAGTTCTGTGAGTAAATTGCTTTATGAGTAGCTTTAAGCAGGTTGAGATTCCTACGTTCGCGCATCGGCAGCCAGTTAAGCTTTAATAAAGTTTCCTCAGAGTTCACATATTTACCAATGACAAAGCTGGCTGCTGAAAATTGGATCTTTTGTAGCCTACTTAAGAAGTAGTCAGGGAGAGGGTTGAAAACGAGATCGCCGTAGTCCATTTTGGACAAAATGAGCTGTTCGGCCAACTGCTTTCGTAAATAAAATGGGGTAAAGTTTTTTATTTTTTTAAGAATGGCCAGGGTGCTGTAGCAGGTCGGGACAATTGTTTAATGTGATCATTCCAAGTAAAATTTTCGGTAATCTGCAAACCAAGCAGTTTTGTGGCATGAAGACGTTCTAATAATTTACCATCAATCTTGAGACTTGTTTCGTGCAAATGTAGTGAATGAGTACTTGCCATCTGCTGAGTTGAAAAAACCATGCATTTGGTTTTTTCCGCATTGAGGGCTAAATTAGAGTCATAAGACCAATCTGATAGTTGCGTGAGAGTAGTGTTCATCTCTACTTCACATTGCAATAAGTCTGTATATTTGCAGTGTTTATAAAGTGTTGAATCATCTGCGTATTGAAAACAGGATACCTGCTGATCAATATTCTC